ATAGCGAAACTACAGTGGTAACGGTAATGGACTGTGGTTGTCGCGCGACGGGCCTGGGACTGAGGTTGGGAAAAAGTGTCGAAGCGGAAGCCCGGAGCGCGGGTTACCCGCCGAGCCGTGAGGTCGGGGTGCGATGTGCGAAGGTGGCGGGCGGATTGTCGATGCGCGGGTTGCGAGTGGTAACGGTGCTGACTGTGGTGCTACATTGATGTACGCGTTGAGCAGGGATGCGAAGCAAGGAAAAGGAATTTTCCTTACAAGCATTCCCAACTATTTCAGCCTTGTACGGCAATGGGCATCTTTTCAGATATATCATCCAATGTTGTCACAAGCAAATGCTAATTGGAATGAAGCTGCATTGCCAGACGGCAATTATTTCGATAGTACAGAACATGGAATCCATGAACCAGCTATGCGGATGAAGCTGTATCTACTCCATCCACTCCTCTATTGCTTCTCTGGTGTACATCACATTCCCCGATACCAAGCTGTCTGCAAACCCAGAACCGAGGAGGGAATAATTCCCATGGGATGACATCTTTGGCCCTTCACCATTCCTCTCAAATGGAGAGCCCGGCAACAGACTAGCAACAGCACAATGCTGCTGCTGCTTCCGCTCCACAGACCCCCCTCCAAGTTTCACGCTGCTGTCAAAATGGAAGGGATGAGAAGCGCTGCAGGGAAAGCCAGCGTTAGAGAGAGCGGGAAATTGCGTCAGCACCCTAGTAGAAGGAGAGTTGCCAGTGGCGCTCGCAGCAGCATATGCCACGTGGACTGGCATGGCTGGCGGTGGGAGGGTGACGTCAGCATCCCTCTCCAGCCAATCGAACCCCGAAACGGCAGATTCGACAGCAGAGTTGGCAAAAGAGCCCGAAGAGGAACCCTGCGGTAGCATGAAGGGCATCCCCGGGGCTTCAGTGGGAGGGGAGAGAGGGGTGGGGGACCACTTAGAGAGGGCTCCTGGGGCTTTGAGGGAGGGAGAGAGAGCGGTGGGAGATGGGAGCCATGGAAGCCATGGCTTGTCGTCCGGGCTCCAGAAGAGGTTGGTTGTCCTTGTCCCGGCGCTCTCTGTGTTGCCCTCCTGCTGCTGCTGCTGCTGCTGCTGCAGGAGGTGTTGGGTGTCGAGGCGAGATGCGCCCCACATCTCCCACTGCGCTGCTGCTGCACCCCCGCTTGCTCGCTGCTGCTGCTGCGGCTGCTGATGGTGATGGTGGTGCTGCTGCTGCTCTTTCTGATTGTGGAAATGCTGCTGGATCTGCTGGTGCTGCTGCTGCCACTGGTGCTGAAAAGACTGCACGTGCACGGGGGCAACAGGGCTCGGAAGAGGCTTACCCGCAGAGGAAACAGGTGAGGGGAGAGTGTAGGAAAGGGAGGGGGAGAGCGAGGAAGAGGAAGGGGAGAGAGGGGGAAGGGAGGGTGTGGAGGTGGGGAAAGAGCTGGGAACAACGGGAGGGGCATAAGGGGATGAGAGGGATGAAGCTAAGGTTGAAGTGGCACCGTTGCTCCTGCTGCTGCTGCCACCATTGCTGCTGCTCCTGCTAACTGCGTTGCTGCTGCTGTCACTTCCGCTGCCACTGCCGCTGCAGCTGCTGCTGCTGCTTTCCCAACCGTTGGCCTCGCTAGTGTCAGAAGAAGGCTTGGTCTGCCGGGATTGGCGGGCAGCAGGCTTGGAAATATAGTCACTTTCGCCACTGTCACCCTCGCTTCCTGCACCCTCGTTTCCTGCCGCCACGAGCATGAGCTGATCAATCAAATGCGACAGCTCAGGTGGAGACAATTTGGTCAACTGAGTCAACTGGGTCAACTGCGCCAGTTGCTGCTCCTCACTCTTCCGAACATTAACAGTCATATTCTGCTGCTTCGGCTCCACGTCAGCTTGCACAGACGTGACTTCGGCGTCTGAGGGGGAATCTCCTTGGCGCGCCTCTGACGTGGCTCGTTCGCGCCTCGCCCGTCGCTGCTTCCTGAAAGCCCTCTTCCGCGAGCGCTCCTTCTCGGAAGATTCCTTCTCCTCAAGCAAGCCATCAATCAGCTCTGGAACCTCTGCAACTTCCGGAATTTCAGTCCTCTCCTGCGCTGCCACGTCACTCTCCAGCTCAGCCACCTTGCTCTGCTCAATCGTTTCGTGCTCCTCCCTTTCTTCGTTATTATTACATCCGCTGTGCTCCTCCGCTTCGAATGCAGCTTTCCCGCCGCTGCCGCGGCCTCCCTTGCCAAGCCGCGCTCCCTTCTTCCCCTTCCCGCCGCGCTTCCGCGTCCTCTCCCCCGCCTCCCTCGTGCACACATCCGCCGTTCCTTCCGCAAGAGCGGAATCAGAAATGGAAGTGGAAGCAGAATCCGAGGATAACTGCCGCTGAATCCGCATCCACGGTACAAGGAGTCCCCATGCTGACGCAAGCATCCACACGGACAAACGAACGCTGACGGTTGGGATTCGAACGCAGGTGAAGAGAAGAGCCTTGGTAGTCATGATAGCGCGGCTGGCTGTAGCAGCGGCTGTAGCTGCTACTGTAGTCGCAGCGGTTGACACTGTAGTTGTTACCGTTACTCTTGCGGACACCATGAGCTGCCAGCACGAGCGAGTGACGGCGCTCCTCGCGGAACTGAGGCCGTTTTGCACACCTTGCGAAGCGAACGTCGCTTTCTCGCAGGCGAATTTTCGCAAACACAAAAGTTTTTCGCCGACGCTTTGCGTCATGCTTCTTCTGGTAACCACCTCGTCTTCGCCACATGTCGAGTGCTCTGCCTCTATTGCTGCACACGACTTGGCAACCACCATCTCCGTGCGAGATTTTCGCAAATCCCCAGCATCGCTGCCGCTGCTGCGCGTTCTCCGCGCCTCAACCGCCTGCAGCATGCGGCGCTTGCGATTGAAACTCTCGCGCTTCGACTGTATCGTCTGCAGGCCGGGGAGGTAACAGGTGTACCAAACGAGCGCGATCGCTTGCGCGACGAGCATCGGCGGGGAGGTGAGATCGATGAGCGATCCGACGGGCAGCAGCAGCAGCGGGACGCCGAAGCTCGCGAGGACGAGGATGAAGCGCGGGATGAAGAAGAGGAACTTGACGAGGAAGTCGAGGAGCGCGCACGCGACGCAGATGCTGACGGTGCGGCCGCCGTACGTGACGGAGAAGACGATTGCGTGCTGCCGCGAGCAGAGATTCGCGCGGCTGGGAGATGACGTGGACGTGGTGATGATGGAACGAGGCGGCTCATGGGATGACGTGAAGGAGGAGGATAGCTGTGCAGGCGCCATTGGAACTAATTAATCTCTCAGAGAACCTCTTATACTTGTTTGGCAGCAGGTGTAGTAGGAGCAATTTAGAGCTGGTGATTGCTAAGAGCGAAGGTCTTTTAAAGAGAAGAGCCTTTGGTAGATAGACTAGACTGCTCTGCTCTAAAAATATGAGCTGATGGTGGAAAGCCGAATCTGGGATGGATCGATGGGACGAAACCCTTGCTCTAGAATTGAACGAAGAGCGGTCTTTAGTACCCGCAGGATGATGGGAACGTGTTAGTCTGGTGAATGCGAGGTGGCGTAGAGATGAAAGCAAGACGCTAGTGCCCAGAGCCTTTCCGTGAAGGGAGATTCGTCCATGTGGAACGCGATGGGCGTTTGACGAGCGGCATTCACGGAGCAAGCTCGTAGGACCTTAGAGAATGGATGATGGAGAAGATGGGAGAGAGCATGGGATGTGCGGATGGAATTATTGAGGTGATGAATACCGTGAGCGGGAGTGAAGTACGGTTATGCATGGTTTGTTCAGGCTGGGATGGAACGGAACGCGTTCATATTGCTTGGGGGAGGGTAGGCGCAATGCTTGCCAAATGCGAGGAGGGGCGAATTTGCTCCGCCGCGCGCGCGATCCGCAATGTGTGCTCCTGCTGACTGGGATTTCTCCCCCTCCCCCTAGTCCTCGCCACGCCACCCCCCCACCTTTGCTGGATTACGGCGGAGGAACCCCTCGTGCATGGTGCATGCGCTCGTGCGCTCACCCATGGAGCTGCCGAAGTGGAGGCGAACTGCCTTGAGAATGCCGTGCGGATAGGACTCCCCGTTTAGGTGGACTTCGGCACTGACTAGCGGGATTGGTTGAAAAGTCTGCGCCTACGATGGCGAGCAGTAATTGCGCTGCGCATGAGGCGGATTTCGTTCCCCCTCCACTTCCCCCTCGCCTAGTGAGTGACTCCTCCCTCCCACACACAGAAGAGTCAAGGGCTGAGGTTGGGGGAAGAACACAACGAATGTGGTCGAAAGCGGTTTGTCCAACGGCTGAGATCCTCCATGCGGATTCTTTTTTTCCTATCGGACCACAACACACACGTTTGTACACTGAATAATGCAAACCAAGTTTTTTCATTGGGCTACAGACTGACATAAAACCGAGTGTCAAAAGAAAATAAAAATCTCGCGCTGACATCACCAAACTGACGCGTTCAAATCGTACTTCTTCGTTGGCTCCGCCACCAGCGCTAGCCACACCTGCCCCTGCGGGCGGAGACAAAGGAGCTTGACTCCGACGCGGACCAGTCACAGCACAGGGCAGAGTTTGGCAGCAGGGCGGACGGTTCAAACTTCGAACGCGTTTCGCCCGTCTCGGTTAGACAGCGTGACGTCCGCAATCCCGTGGGTTCCGCCCCGCAGCACACAGGTTGTGGTGTGGGGTGGGGTGGGGTGGAGTGGGGAGGAGGGGGTCACAATAATTGGAGTGGCTAGGTTTCCACATTGCCCAGAGGTATTTATTGCTGAAATATTTAGAATTATGCACCTAGCAGTGTAGCTAATGTGAAGGCATCCAAGCCTCATGCACGTGTTGCGATGAGCTCAACGGCGAGAACAAGACTCCTCGACAACGCCACACACCACTCCACTACAATTTCGATAATTTCGCCTCTGATTACGTCTGAAATTCAGAATTTCACCTTGTCTCATCGTCACATCCGCCGCCAGTCTTCCTCGTCTCTCGAACAAGAAAGGCGTACTATAATCGAACGCCACGATGAACGGCACAGGCAGCGCAGGCGCGGGACCGCAGAGGAAATCCACGGGCAACGAAATGAGCGAGAAGCTGCTGCAGGGCTGGGCGATGCTCGCCATGCACTGCCCCGTGTGCTTCAACCCCATCCTCCGTAGCAGGTGCCGCTCCATCCTCGCTGCACGCCACCCCTTAGTTCGCGTGTGATGTTCAGAGACCGTAGTTTTCATCACGTACTCGTTCATCTCCCCTATTCCCTCTCCCCACTAGCTTGTTAGAATCTCTCCACTCGTTCATCTCTCGACTCCCTCCGTCCCTATTCCGCCCCCTGTTTCTGCTAATTTCTTTCCCCCACCTTCTCCCCCACTTTCTCCTACCCACAAGCGCTCTGAGGCCAACCCCTAACCCCTGATACCTACCCTTAAACCCTCTCCCCGGCTGTGAGCCCACCAGAGCGGGGGAGAAGCGGTGCGTCGTTTGTGACCTACCCGTTATAGAGGAGGCAGATGCCCCGGCCCAGATGACGCCACAAGAGCCAGCTCAGCAGCAGCAGCAGGGAGGAAGGGTCCAGGAAGATGCGGCAGGCTGGGAGAAGGAGGAAGAAGCAGAGGGGGAAAAGAGCAGAGGTCAGAGAGAAGGAGAGGTGGAGAGGGCAGTCGAGGACGGCCTTGTATCGGGGGCGCTATTAGAGAGGATGACGGGAGGTCAGCAAAGACAAGATTTGCCGCCTATTGGCACAGTACCAGCTGCAACGCCTCCTAGCACGGTGGCAGCAGCTGCCACTGCCACTGCCACTCCCTCGGCGGCTCCCTCAACTGCTGCTCCCTCGGTTGCTGGAGGAACGGCAAATGGCTCTATCGCTCCCCTCCTGCCATCCCCAAGTGCTGTCCCCGCCTATCTGCCGGTCCCCGGCATGTTGCCCCCTCTACCGGGTGTACCGTCCTCCTTACGAGACACGTCTATGAGCGCGGTGAATGCAGCTGCTAATGATGCCCTTATTGGTGCTCTGCGGGCCGCTGTCACCCAACTGCAGGTGAGCGTGCGTTGCGTTGCCAGCCAACAGGAAACTCCGATAGCTCCCCTCCAATCACATCTGATCGCTGCTTCCCATCCCCGCGGTCACCCTACTCTCTTTCATTCCCATCCCTCTTTCATTCCCATCCCTCTTTCATTCCCATCACCCATCCTGCTCTGCTGCGTTGAGAGTCTGGCCTGTTTTCACCCTTTCCACAGGAGGGCCATGTTTCCTTGCAGGCAATCGCATGGCACGCCTGTGCCCCTTTTGAGTACACTACACAGGACAGGAAATCATGGCATGACCATGCCATGTCCTCCCAGCCTAGCCGTTGTTTTGCTGACCCTGCCCCTCCGTTTCTTCTCCTGGTTGCCATGACATGACATGGCATGATATGACATGACATGACATGCGATGACCCTGCCCCTCACAGCGAGCGCAAAAGGCCCTGGAGTGCACATCCGACTTGCAGCAAACGCAACAGGTGGGTGCGCCTGCTGAGTCACCTGGTGGGTGTTCTCGCTGAGTCACTAGGTGCGCCTGCTGAGTGACCAGGTGGGTGTTCCTGCTGAGTCACTAGGTGGGCCAGCTGAGTCACCAGGTGGGTGTGCTGAGTCACAAGGTGGGCGTGCTGAGAGTAATCTCAGAGTATGCGCAGGTCACCAGGTTTCTCAGTCGACTCTGAAGTCCGCCCCCTCTCTTTCCTCCCACCCATCCCCAGACCTGCTTTCCCCCCATCACACCCCGCATCCCTCACCCTCACCATCTCACCCCCAATTTTTAGAATTCTCAAAACTGACTCTCTTTCCCTCACCATCTCACCCCCGTCACCCCTTCCCCTCCCCCGTCCTCACCATCTCACCCCGATCACCTCTCCCCCTCCCCCGTCCTCACCATCTCACCCCCATCACCCCTCCCCCTCCCCCGTCCTCCCCTGTCCTCCCTGTCCGCTCCCCCATCTTCCCCCTCGTCCCTTCACCTGCTGTTCAGAATTTCAGAGAGTGTATGCGCCACCAATGGGAGATCGAGGGTCATTCGTAGTTCGCCTCCCCCATCCTACCCATTCCCCCCCCATCTCCCGCCCATCTTCCCCCCATCTCCTCCCGGTGCCATTGTGCCTTCATACCCTCAGCTCCTGGGCATCATTGTGGAGTGTGCGCGGGCTATCAAGGAAATCCAGCCATTGGTTCGCCCGATGTGACGTGACATTACAGGCAGCTGAACCTGCTACAATGTTTTACATAATGGATGAACTACAGTTCACCTATCCCACTTGTACTTCGTAGTGACATTTTGCTTCAAAAACCTTGTGCGCAGCGATTTTTTAGGCACCTTAAAAAGCATCAGGGTGCATTCCTGTGGGGACACTTGTGTCTCAATCACTTTGTGACACCCAAAAACAACATGAACTGTGTTGTGTCCCAAATGTCAATCGCCTTTAAGCGACTTGTACTGTATTTATTATTGGTCAGCATGAAACGCGCTGACATCGCTGACGAATTGTAAAACAACCCGTCATTGTTAAAGAATCGCACGCGACTCGGAATGCCTGACACGACCACATGCACCTGGACATCCGAAAATGCCAATTTTGCGAGGGAAAGGATCACGCCCCAGCTCGGAGGTTGAAAATGTTGGAAATCCAAATACACTATAATGGATACTGTATACCACTGTGCTGTTTGGTTTTAGTGTAGTCCCCTTTTAAAGTATCTAGGTCATACAATATTTGTCACAATTATTGTAGGGCCACAATTATTGGAGCCTAGCATTATTGGAGGGTAGAGGGTACAATTATTGGTACACCATTATTGGTGTGAATGAGTCGTTCTGGAGGGGTAGTTGGATGCATATATACCCTGCTGTGTCACTTCAACATCATTGAGTAATCATTGAGTTATCATTGTGTCATCTTTCTCCTTTTCAATGATAAATGCAAGATTTCTATCTTGTTTTTTTCTACAAACACGTTTCCGCTACGCTGACACTATGCATTTCTAGCAGAAAATACGGGTGTACTGTCACCCAGTCAACTGCACACAACTGTACATCTCTTTTTTATCGCAGCCAATGAAACGTGTCCAACTGAACCTGCCAATCTGTCGCCCTACGTCGCAGTACATTCGATATTTGTGACACAACATTGGGAAAATTAACAGGCGCGACTCGGGAAAACAGGGATTGAGACACAAGTGTCCCCACAGGAATGTACCCTCAATCCCACTTGTATCCATAGTGCCATTTCTCTCCACTGCCAAGTGCGCAACTCAAAACACACTGCTACAGTAAATGTATGCCTTGTGCAACAGTGGATGCCGCACCCTTTTGAGCCTTCTTGCCCTCCACTTTGTACATCTCTTTTGTCTGCTTCTTCGCCTCCCTCGCCGCCCGCTTCTGAGCCTTCACAGCTTCCTGCACAAGATGTGGCAGATAGAGGTTGGATGCGGTGGAAAGAGGTTGAGTGAGAAGCGATGGGTAACCCAGAGTGGTTGGCTGTGGTGGAAAGAAAGGGGTTGGTTGAGGTGTAGAGAGAGATGTCTTCAGGTGATACACAGAAAGGTTGGTCGTGGTTTAAAGTGGTTTGAGTGTGCGGAGAGAGGGGTGAGGGGGGCATGAGGAGGAGAAGGAGAGGGAGGAGGAGACGCAGGTAGTGAAAGCACGACTGGGTACTGGTTACTGGGTAAAAGCACCATGCCCACAGGAGAAGGACAAAAGCACCATGCCCACAGGAGAAGGACAGAAGCACCATGCCCACAGGAGATGGACAAAAGCACCATGCCCACAGGAGAAGGACAAAAGCACCATGCCCACAGGAGGACAAAAGCACCATGCCTACAGGAGAAGGACAAAAGCACCATGCCCACAGGAGAAGGACAAAAGCACCATGCCCACAGGAGAAGGACAAAAGCACCATCACCACAACGACCCCGGTGGTATGTTGACTTTTGAGTTGACTCAAAAGTCAACCATCACCACAATTACCCCGGTGGTATTCATGCAATTATTTGCAACACACCATCCCTCACCATCCCCACACTCCAACCCTCACCATTCCCACACACCAACCCATGAACCTTACACAGCGGCACCCTCTACCTTGAGCGCTTTCCATCCTCTCAGGCGTCTTTTCAGGTGCCACAAAAGCCCTACCTTGCGAGCTTTCTTGCACTTGTCCTTCCCCTCAGGCCTCTTTTCAGGTGCCTCAAAAGCCCTACCTTGCGAGCTTTTCTCTTCTGGCGTCTCCTTGTCTTTCCCTCCCATGCACTTCACACCCCACCTGCACCTTGCACCACCGCACCGTAAGTTGCACCACCACACTGAACCTTACACCACAGTTCCATACCTTGCGTGCTTTCTTCTCTTCAGGCGTCTCCTTCTCCTTCCCTCTCGGCCGCACAAACACAACACCCCCCCCTCCCTCCCCCGCCCCTTCCTCATCCTCCCCAATCCCCTGCAACCCACCCCCCGTGCCACTCCCTCTCCTCTCCTCCTCCCCCTCCCTCCCCTCTCTCCCCACTCTCCCCGGCACAAACCCAGCAGGCAGCTGCGCTCTCCCCTTCAATCTAATCTCCTCCACCCCAATCCTCCCACCACCCCCCCCGGCCACTCCCCCTCCTCCCGCCGCCGCCTCTCCCGCTCTGCTCCCCTTTCTGTGGGGATTGGAAGGGGCGGAGATTCGTGCAGGGTGGTTGTCTAGGTTTGAGTAGGTAGAGACTATCGACTCGCAGTCCCACTTGCCCCTCTCCCTCTCCTCCTCCTCCTCCTCCGAAATATATTCCACCTCTTCCTCTTCCTCCTCTTCCTCCTCCTCCTCCTCTTCCTCTTCTTCCTCTTTCGTGTCCCCTCCCTTCCCAACCCTATCTCCCCCACCAGGCACAATAGGAATAGCCACAATTTCTTCCTCTCCATTCTCTTCGCCCCCCTCCTTCACCTCCTTTGCTCCCCCACTATTTCCCCTCTCCCCGCTCTTCCCTTTTCCCCCGCCCTCCCCCTTCCCCATCCGCACAACCGCGCCCCCCTTCCGCAGCTCCAGCAGGCTCTCCCGCCGGGAAGCTTCCAGGAAGTCGTCCAGCACGTTGCTGAACATGGAAATATCCGCATGCCCCGCTGCGGACCCCCCTCCGCCGCCCCGGTGGTCCCCGTCCTCGTCATCTGAGAAGTCGTCCACGTCAGCATCCGCGTATTCCCGCTCAGCCAGCTGGAGGCGTGAGTCAGCAGCAGGGTCGAAGAATGATGGCAAAAGGAGGGAGGTGAGGGAAACGCAAGGTTTCGGGTTCAATTCGGATAAGGGTAAACGAAAATTTTCTCCTCTTTGGGTGTCGGGTTTCAGGTTCAATATAGACGTGTGAAAATGACCAAATCCTGTATGGACGATAAGAAATTCTGCTCCCAACACCACTCAGCACCTCTCAGCATGACCTAGCACCACACCGCACCACTCACCAGCATCACTTGTTCCTCCAGCGCTCTCAGGTTCTCCTCCGCCTGAGCGCGGCTCTTAGCCTCCTCTTCCGCCCTCCGCCGCATTTCCTCCCCGCCCACCGCCGCTTCCCTCCGCTGCGCCTCCGCGCCCACCGCCGCTTCCCCGCCAAGCTTCCCGCTTTCTCCTTTAACCCCCAAACCCTCAACCCCGCTTGTTAAGCTTTCCACGCCTGGCGCAATGACCGTGTCCCCTGCCGCACCCACACCGGAAGCTTCTTCCGCCAACCTCACACTTTCCCCTTCCCCCGCTGCCTCGTTCAACCTACCTTCCGCATCTTCCGCCTCCTCCGCCTCCTCCTCCTCCTCCTCCTCCCCCCCCGCCGTCGCCAGCAAAACAAAGTCATCTTCTAGCTCCCCGAAAACATCTTCCCCCTCCTCCCCCTCCCCCGCTTCCCCCTCTCCCCCGTCCCCTTCTAGCAGCGCTAAAACCTCCGGATCGAGCCCTGAAACGCCGAAGTAGTTTGCGCTGCCCTCCCCGCCTGCGGAATCGCCTGCTTGCGCTCCCGCGGAAGCCGGCGCTGCACTTTGAGCTGCGCGGGCGGGCGGCGCGGCGGCGGGGAATCCGCGCTTCGGCCGAATCTCCTTGATGACGGAGGAGATCTTTGCCACGACCTCCAGGTCAGCAACCGGCGCGTCGGCGGCTGCTGTCGTGGCAGCCGACGTGTCCGGCCGCACGGTAAGGCGCGTGGCTTTATATATCTGCGGTGGGCGGATGTACATCAATAACGAAAATGGACAATTAGTACGCATGTAAAGAACGCGGGTGGTGTAGTGCAGCGCGCGAGGATTCGAAGCTGACAAGGGGTAGAGGGGCGGGGGGAATGGGGGGCGCGGGGGGAGGGGTGGGGGCGCATGGCGGATGGCAAGGGTGGACAGCGGCGGCCGCCAGGAATACAACAAACGCACCTTTACGTCGTCGGGAAGCGCGGCCGCGGGAGCCTCGGCGGGAACGAACGACGCGAACGTCCTCGTCTGCCCGATCACCCGAAGGTGCTGCGTGTAGTCGTACCCGTCGTCGGGTAACCCTAATTCGATAATTTCGCGACGGGCGCTCTCGGTGAGTTTTTTCTTGCCCTGCCCGCCGGCCACGCTTCCTCCTCCTCCCATCACGCTCCCCCCATCCCACCCGGGCGGCCCGCCCAACCCCAGGCCCGCCCATAAGTCGCGCCCTCTCCCTCCACCGCGCCTCGTGCTCGCGTGCGATCGGCCCGCGACCGAGGCCGCGTCGTCGCCATCAGTCGCGCGTGCGACAGCGTGCGACTGCGCTCGGGACCTCCTGCTCCCGGCGACGCTTCTTCCCTCCCCCTCCCCCTCCTCCCCCTCTTCCTCATCCTCATCATCCTCCTCCTCCCACTCCTCGCCGCTAAAATCCTCCGCGTTTTCCGGGATCGGCGGCTGGTAGTCGTCCGAGAATCCCGGAACATGGTTGCTTCCGGCGTCGGTGCGCACGAAGACGCGCTCACCGGGCGCGTCGGGGTCGTTGGATTCGCGGTACATGAGCGTGAACGACGCCGCGCTCTTCTTGTCCACAAACTTCTTCTTGCGACCCATCGCTGCTGGCGAAAAAGAACGAGCGACGACGAAAAGCGGCGAAATCGACGACGGAGAGGAGAGAGAACGAAGTGGCGATCGGATTGGAGTGAGTCACGCAGCGGATGTAGGCAGTAGACGACGAGTGGAACGGCTGTTATCCGGATTTCTATCTTGGTTCCACCCTGTCGACAGATGGGCGCAACGTGCAAAATGCGAACTGCGAGGGGTTTAGATTAGCAGGCGAAGAGCTGTCGCGGAGTTTGAGAGTTACCAAACACGAACACAGATGGTAACTCTCTTGAGGGTACTCCAAGTTGCTGGGAGGGAAGAAGGGCTCGGTGGATATCCACATTTGGGTGGCTCGTGGAATTCGTGGTCCCCTTTCGTAGCGAAACAGATCGTACACCCACTCGCGAAAGCAGCATTTCCAACTCCTTCCCCACGCGATGCGACATCCCTCGTTGACACTTTTCGTTTCGCTAAACCCGTTTCGCAAAGATCCGAAATCCCTCTAATCGGCGAGGGCTTCGCTCGCCATATACCCGCCCCCAATAGCTAATCTCCCCCTCTTTTTCGCTCCTTAGCTTTCTGCTTTCGCTGCTCCCCGCCTCCCGGCGTCGCGACCTTGTTTTGTCTGGTTAAAGCGGTAGCTCCGTCCAGCTACCCACCTTGTCGGCCGCTCCGGCGCGACTTGGGCCTATCTGGGCTTCTCAGGTCCCGTACATACCTCCATCCACTAGCTATATAGTTTTGTTTTGATTTTCCGAAAACAGGTGTAGTTTTCAGCCAGTAAGCAAAAGCTAGCAGCCATGGGTTTCAAGGGGACTAAGGCGGAGAAGAAGCAGGCGTACGACAAGAAGGTGTCGCTGATGCTGGAGGAGTTCTCCAAGGCGCTGATCTGCAAGGCGGACAACGTGGGGTCGAAGCAGATGCAGAACATCCGCGCCGGGCTGCGCCCCGACTCGGTCGTGCTCATGGGCAAGAACACGCTGCTCAAGCGCACGATTCGCATGTACTGCGAGCGCACCGGCAACACCTCGTGGAACGGCCTTCTCCCGCTCCTTGTGGTGAGTGTATTGGAGACACTATTCGAGTCTGTCTCAAGCGCACCATCCGCATTTACTGCGAGTGCACCGGCAACACGTCCTGGAACGGCCTCCTCCCGCTCCTTGTGGTGAGTGTTGTCCCCTTGTTCGATTGTCCCCTGGCACCTGAAACCCTAATTCCGGATGGAGGAGTTCTTTAAGGCGCTGATCGGCAAGGCGGACAACGTAGTAACGTTCTGTATCTGAAATGAGGGTGTTTTGAGACGTCTCTAAAACAGTCTCAACAGCACCCTCAGTTCACAAGGAGCTGATATCCAAGGCGGACAACGTGGTAACGTTCTGCCTCTGCATCTCTTCCCCTCACCTGTACCCCATTCGTGCTGTTTCATATTTCGCCCCTAACCGTACCATGTCATCTCTTCCTCTCACCTGTATACCATGTCATCTCTCCCCATCCGCGTGTCATCTTACCGTGTCATCTCTCCTCCCCTACCGTACCGTGTCATCTCAGGGCAACGTGGGGCTCATCTTCACCAAGGGCGATCTCAAGGAGGTCCGCGAGGAGATCGGCAAGTACAAGGTGCGATGCAACGCGGTTTGAAGCGTTTTAAACCGGTTATGTTTGTGCAAGTACAAGGTGCGTTGCGGTGGGTTCGGATCTGTTCTGATCGGTCATGGCCGTTTAGTAGAACGTGAGGTGTAATGAGATTCGGCGCGGTTATAGCTGGTGATGGTAGGTGGGATGTCAAGGCAACTTGGGACGACCATGGTCGTGGCGGTTAGGGATCGGTCTGAAAATTTGAGGCGGGTTTTCAGGCGCTTAAAAGTAGTTGTGGCGGTTGGGGTTGGGATCGGGGAGGAGTCGATTTCCAAGGCAAGAAGGCTCTTAGTCATGGGAGGTTGGTAGTTGGGCCATGAGGACAAAGCGCTAGGCGAGTTAAGATGCGTTGGAATTATAGTCCTCAGCCCTGAATCACTCATTTTCTAACTCTCCCCTAAGCCAGCTGCTGTTTTCGATGTCCTTTTTGCTTCCCCTCCCCCCCATGCCTCCCTCCCTGAAATCCTTTCGCCAATCAGGTCGGCGCGCCTGCGCGTGTGGGTCTGGTTGCGCCCATCGACGTGGTGGTGCCACCTGGCAACACGGGACTGGATCCCTCGCAGACTAACTTCTTCCAGGTGAGCTCTCGAAGCCGCGAACCCATGGCGCGGGGTCTCTATTTGTTTGTTTGTGGCTGCCTGTTTGAAGGCGACCATACTTCGCCGCATAGTCTCTGTCGCATGGTCTTTGCCGCATAATCTCTGTCGCATGGTCACTTTCACACTGTCTCTGTCGCATGGTCTCTGTCGCATTCCCTGTTCATTGCGCCGGGCATTCACCTCCCTTTTGCCCCCCCGGTGCTCAACATCCCGACCAAGATTAACAAGGGAACGGTCGAATTGGCCTAACAACCATTGCCCCGTACCCCTTTCCCTTCTCCTCCCCCCTTTCCCCTCCCTCCCCCCGCCCGAATCTCGCGCCCCTTTCCCCCACTCACCTCCCTTCCCCAGGTGCTCAACATCCCGACCGAGATAAAGGGAACGGTCGAGATCGTCGCCCCCGTGGAGCTGATCCTCGCGGGCGACAAGGTGCTATCTCTCTCCCAACCCTTTCACTTCCCCCCCTTTCCCCCCCTCCCCACATTCCCCTTCCCCAGGTGCTCAACATCCCCACCAAGATTAACAAGGGAACGGTCGAAATCGTCGCCCCCGTCGAGCTGATTAGGGCGGGCGAGAAGGTCGGTTCGTCCGAGGCTGCGCTGCTGGCGAAGCTCGGCATCCGCCCGTTCTCGTACGGGCTGGTTGTGGACCAGGTTAGTGATTGTAACGGGGTGATGGGTTACTGGTACGAGCTCGTGCATGCTTCCTCTGCCACACGAGAGAACTTTTGAGTCGACTCATGAGTCGACGTGACTTGTGAGTCGACGTGAGAGTCGACGAGACTTGTGAGTCGACGTGAGAGTCGACGTGACTTGTGAGTCGACTCAAAAGTCACCCTTGATCTTACGGGGTGATGGGTTACTGGTACGGGTTCGTGCGTGCTTCCTCTGCCACACCAACGACCGCGCTGCTGGCGAAGCTGGGCATCCGCCCGTTCTCGTACCGGCTGGTCGTCGACCAGGTCGGCGCATGGGCGTTTCTGGTCTCTTGGCCGCCCTTTTTGAGACGTCTCGAAAATACCCTTTCCACACGTGACTTCTCGTACGGGCTCGTCGTCGACCAGATGAGCCCATGGGCGTGACTAGTCTCTTGGCCGTCATACATTCTTTTTTGCGGACCAACTTCTTAGTAGCAATGCCCCATCCTTGCCCCTATCCCTTCAGCTATCACTCGCACGACTTTGTATCGTGTCATGTCATCCTTCTCACCACCTCTTATCCCCGTTAACTCGCCAGGTGTTTGACGACGGTTCCACCGTCCACCCGTCGGTCCTTAGACACCTGGGCCACTTGTCCTCCCATTTATCCCTTCATAAACCCTGAATCTGAACCTGTCACTCTTCCTCTCTTCCCCTCCAGGTGTTTGACGACGGTTCCACCGTCCACCCGTCGGTCCTGGACATGTCAGGGGACGACCTTCTCGGCTATTTCGCCTCCACCCTACCCTCTATGAACCCTGCACCCTGAACCGATTTTTCCTTTCTCCGCTCTCTTCCTGTCGCCAGGTGTTTGACACGGGTCCACCTTCCACCCGTCCGTCCTGGACATGTCAGAGGACGATCTGCTCGGCCACTTGGCCTCCCCTCCACCCCTCTTTGAACCCTGAACCCTGCACCCCGTTTAAACCCCTTTCTCTCCTCTCCTCCCCCCTTTAGGTGTTTGACGACGGGTCCACCTTCCACCCCTCGGTCCTGGACATGCCAGAGGACGATATGCTGCTCGGCCACTTATCTTCCACCCTCAACCCGAACCCCTGATCCCTACTGTATCCCTTCGTATCCCCCTCCACCACCTCCAGGTGTTTGACGACGGGTCCACCTTCCACCCGTCCGTGCTGGACATGTCAGAGGACGATCTGCTGGGCCACTTCGCCTCGGGTGTGGCCAACGTGGCGGCCATCTCCCTGGGCGCCGACTACCCCACGCTCGCCGCCGTGCCGCACGTGTTTGCCAACTCGTACAAGAACGTCATTGCTGTTGCGCTTGCTCTGGATGACTACTCGTTCCCCCTGGCCGACAAGGTCAAGGAGATCCTTGCGGTGAGTGCTCTCTTCTCTTCCTTTTGCCGCTCTGATGCCCCCCCTTCCACACACTCTCCTGGATGACTACTCCTCCCCTCTGGCCGACAAGGTCAAGGAGATTCTCGCGGTGAGTCCTTCCCACCTCCTTTCTCTCTCCGAGTGACTGCTGCCTTGCACATCAGCCGCGTGCTTCCTGCTTGTCCCCACGCTCGCCGCCGTACCGCACGTGTTTGCCAACTCGTACAAGGACGGCATCGCTGTTGCTCTTGCCCGCCCTCCATGATTACACCTCCCCTCTGGCCGACAAGGTCAAGGAGATTTGTGCGGCAAGTCCATTCCCCCTCTCACGCTTCCCCCCTCCCTATCATGGCCCCTCCTTTCTGTGGCACCTGTCCGTTTTTCTATCAATGTCTTGTGTGTTTCCTTTCCCATTTTCCTGTCAATGCTCTCAAAAATGACTCTTATTTGCCCCATCATGCTTCTCCTGATCCTTACCCGAACTCGCTTTCCAGGATCCTTCCAAGTTCATGGTGGCAGCGGTGGCGGCGGCGCCGGCAGCATCTGCGGAGGCGGCCAAGGAGGAGGCCAAGCCGGCAGAGGAGGAGAAGGAGGAGTCGGATGACGACATGGGCTTCAGCCTCTTCGACTAAATGCGCCTCTTCGACTAAATGCGCTGCATCGCTTTCGAGGTGACTTTTGAGTCGACTCAAAAGCCACCAAGCCGGCAGAGGAGGAGGAGGAGCTCTAGATGCACTG